AGCCTGCCAGCAGGGGTTGGTGCAGGTGTTCTGGGTTCTGGGGCTCTGCACCTCTAGCTGCTGACAGGCAAAACTCATGTCATGGGTGCTTGCGCAACTGTGTCTGTCTTGGGGCATGGGGGGGAGGGGGGGCAGGGACGGAAACTACAGCAGGCCTGGCTGCTAAGCTCTGCTGGGGCCACGAAGCCTGCCAGCTGTTAAGAAGATAGGTGCAGGGTGGTTCTGGGGCCCTGCAACCCTAGCTGCTGACAGACAAAACTCATAACATAGGTGCTTGTGCAACTGACTGTCTCTGACTTGGGGCAGTTGATTGTCTGTATTGATTATTTCCTCTCTGTGCCTGTCTCTGCTCGATGATTCGCTCCCATGCCACCTTTGTCCGAGCTGGTCTTACTCGCCAAGGAGCCTCTTGTAGACCCCGGAGGGTTCCTTGATTACCTTTGGGGTGTCCCCCAAACTCGCCTGCCACGACTTCAGATGGTCCTTCAGTGAAGGGGGTCCCCTTTGAGGATGCCTCCAGAGCTGTCACGTGTCCTGGCAGATGTCCACAGGGCTCCAACCTTCCCTACACCCCAGCCATGCGCCAACCTTTGAGACGAGCCTCAGGATCTTTTGTGGCTAGCCCCTGTTGATGTCTTCCTTGGTTCCCACGTGTCCTCCTCTGCAGATGGATGCCTCAGGCTCTGACCAGACCTGGAGGGTCTGGTGACACTCTGCCTTCGGGTTTGTCCCTTTCGATGCCCTGCGTGTTCTATGACGGATGCTGCTGGTCGTTGCTGCGTTCTCACGTGGTCCTTCATTTTCAATTGGGGTCTCTAATTCCCCAAACCTGGTATGGTATGCTAGGCTAACCTGCTGTAGGCAGGGAACTAAAACAGATCAGACCAAGGCAGGGAAACACAAACAGAACACTCACTACCAGAAAACCGCACACCATGGGAATAACCCAAAGTGAAAAGAAAAAGGAACTAAAGACAGGACTGCAAGAAAAATGAGATGAAGAGAAGAAGAACAGAGGAGCAACCACGGGGCTGAGAGTCCAGTGCTCCCCTCACCCCTAATGCCCCTAGACTAGCATGTCTCCTGGGTCGGGACCTGCGCCTTCACCCCAGCAGGGGTTTCTTTTATCTTCTCCAGGATCTGCCTCCGCCCTGGGGTTGTAGCACCCGCCGCCTTTGGCAGGAGCTCCTTCACCAGCTCTTGCTATCGCCGCTGCCGGCCTCACTGCTGGCTCCTCTGATCCCCACTGGTCTTCCCTGGCGCAGAGATCTCCCGCAGCCCCTGCTGCCGCCACTGCTGCCGACCTCACTGCCGTCCCCTTTGATCCCCGCCAGCTGTCTCTGATGTGGGGATCTCCCACAGCCTCTGCTGCCACCACCACTGCCAACCTCACTGCCGTCCTCTTTGATCCCCACCAGCTGTCTCCAGCATGGGGATCTTCCACAGCCTCTGCTGCCACCGTCGCTACTGGCTGCACCGGCTGGATGCGCTCCACCCGGCAGTTCCCTGCCGCTCCTCTGGCACTCAGTGTCCCCTTTCCCATGCTCCTGGGGCTAGCTTTTATCTTTGCCAGGTAACGCCTCTTTGAGATGTCACCCAGCTCCAGCTGGAGATGGATGCAGCTGATAAACTGCTCAGGTGGTTTTCCCTGGCATGCCTCTTCACTTCTGCAGAGCCCTGCAACAGGTAGGTTTTTTTCCTCTTTTTCCTTTGTCTGGGGTCTGCCTGCGGGTGAGGCTTCCCCCTTGCCTGATCCTGTGTCCCTGGGACACTCTCCTTAGTCTGTGGTTTTGTAGGTGTTAATTCTTGCTCGTTAACTCGTTGCATTAGCTGGCTACTATGTATTGAGCTGGTCCGAGTGAATCATGGTTGACTGGTAACCCAGTAGCTTAGCAGCCAGGCCTGCAGTAGCTTCAACCCCCCCCACCCCAAGACAGACACAGTTAGTTGCACAAGCACCCATGTCACGAGTTTTGCCTGTCAGCAGCTAGAGGTGTAGGGCCCCAGACCCAGAACCCCTGCACCAATCTCCTTGACAGCTGGCAGGCGTTGTGGCCGCAGGAGGGGCCACCATCCCTGCAGCTTTCACCCTGCTGCACCTTAATACACACAGTGTCGCCCATGTCACGAATTTTACTTGTCTGTAGCTTGAGGTGCAGTTTCCCCAAACCCCTACACCTATCTCCTTGAAGCCTGGCAGACTTTGTGATCTCAGCAAGAGCTACCATCTCTGCAGTTTTCACCCCACTGTGGCTTAACACACACACACGTGACATGAGTTTTGCTTTCAGAACATTGCGATGCAGTTTCCCAGAAACCCCTGCACCTATCACCTTGCTACTTGGAACACATCATGCTCTTAGCAGAGGTTACCATTTCTGCAAGTTTTATCTGAATCATCCAAAAGACAACAAAGTTATAGATATTTCATTGATTCCCTGTTATACCCTATGGCCAAATCTCCGAATCTTTTCCAAATTGATTCGGAAGCTCTGAATCGATTCAAGAAGCCCGCGATTCCCATGATTTGATTCGTATTCATGGATTCTGTCTCTAAATCATCCAAATCATCTCCAAATCTGAATCATGATCCAAAGCTTTGCATAGCCCTACATAATAGGCTAGGAAGCTAGGGTTATAGTATTTCATTTAAGATTGAAGCAAAAACAAATATAGTTTCATTGGAATGTACATTCATTTGCTATAACACATTATGTATAAAAAACCCTCAACAAACTAGGCAAAAGTAAGATGGTGTTTCTTTGGTCTTACTGTCATTAGAAGTAAATGTATGTCTCTTTCCGAGTCATGAAGCAAAACCTAACTTTCCTGAACATCTTGACAATGCAATGATTCACTGAAAGTAATTTCCACACCTGAGTTGATGTTCACCTGAGTTAATATTTCCACAACTGAGTCTGCAGGGCTGTAAAATAGGAGCTACATTATTAGGAGCAGCTAACAGACAGCAGAATTGCAGAAAGAAGGGTAGTTTGGTTAGTGGAACATCAAAACCATTTAGAAAGGAGAGAGGGTTGTTAACACCGGTGGTATAACGAGTTTAAAAGGCATCAGGTAGATTATAATGAGTCATGATCCAATTGACTCCCTTATTGCTGCCTGAATAGAAATGCTGATGCCCCTGCCAGGCAGTTAGTTTTAAACTTTAGGTGGGGCAGGAATCTACCTACACCCCCCAGGATCCACCCCTGGCACAGCTTCTGATGGGGCAAAAGGTGCAACACCTCCCGTGTCACGCCTAGCTCCAGCTTGTGGTATTAGTCATTCACTCAGATATATTCTTGGATTATAAGGAAGAATGGGATGCTGTGAGCACTGAATCTGACTCCCTACATAACTTTGGACTTCCCCAAATAATTCCTGCTTCAAGGCCAATAGACAGAGATGGTTAGCCATGTTAATCTGAAGTCAGGCATGAGGCAGGGCAGGGTGGCATGTTAGAGGCAAACTGGTTCAGAGAGGCATGAGCTTTCATAAGTGATCACGAAAACTTACGCCTCTCTGCACCAGTTAGTCTCTAAAGTGCTGCTCTGACCTGCCTTTAAGTCTGATAGCTATGGTTACATGCAAGCAAAATCTTTTAGAAAAGCATGCAGTCCTGATTGTAATATTGCCAGTGATGGAGAGTCCTCCAAAACCCATGGCAAGTTGTTCCAGTGGTTAGTGATCCACACTTTTAACAATATGTGCCTATTTTCTAGGCTGAATTTACCCAGTTTTGGCTTCTAGTCACTTTGACTGTCAGAGAGAAGGGTCGCCTGTTGTGTTTCCCAAATAGGTATTTGCAGATTGTGATCAGATCATCTCTGTGTTAAGCTAAAGTAGGTCAAGCTCTTGGAGTCCTTCACTCTAAGCCAGGGATATTCAACCCCCAGGCCACAGGCCAGATCCAGCCCCTAGCAATGTGTCATCCAGCCTGTAGGCCTCCCTATGGGTCCAGAAATTTGGCAGCAGAGGAGTGGTGGCACTGATATACTGCTGCCAGATATCCAGACCTGTGGGGAACCACAGACCCTGTACTAGTCCTGGTGTGCCAGGTGGGGCAGGGGTGGGCCAAACTCCAAGGCCTAATCCCAGCATACAGGGTTGGGCAGGGGCAGTGCCAGACCCAATCCTGGCATGTGGGGCCCAATCCAGCTGGCAGGCCAGTCCCATGTCACTCCCCTGGCCTGAGGGCCAAAAGCTTGAGCACCACTGCCGTATACCATACTTCACCTTCCTCTTCACGACATATTAAGCCAGATCTGGGGCCCTGTCCTGTCACTATGTATCATTGGTAGAGCACAAAGCAGCTCTTAAAGCCAATCTAGGCACCACTTGAGGATTGCTCTTCGCTGGGGAATCTTGAGGAAGTACAGAGTCACTTGAGCAGCAGCCACACCACTCTCTCTCAGGCCCAGTGCCAGTCCCAGTGCCAGTGCCAGTCCCAGTCCCAGTCCCAAGGTGAATTTAGATCTGCCCCTTGTGGACAGAGATTCCCTCAGGCTGCTCTGTCCTGCAGTGGGAATCCAACCTAGCCCATACTATTGCCAGAATGAAAAACATAAACCAAGCCACCTTCACCCCTTAAACTGTTTGGTTTTGCAGCCAGCACAGCTCAGCAAGACCTGAGAACTTGACTTTCTAGAGTAATCCTATGCTACATTCCACCCACCTAGAAAAACTTAAACCCTGTCTGGTGTTGAAAATTGTGTATGGGTGTAGCAGGGGTCAAGGGACCCTGTGATTTTAAGAGGAAAAGTTCAGCAGGCAAGACCTGCAAGTTGGAACAGACAGCTGAGTAAGGCCTGGCTGAAAAGACACAAGCAGCCCAAGGAAAGATAAAGAAAGTTACTACAGACCTACAGGAAGCTATCAAGGGCAAGATGCCCAACAGTAAGCTACAGGTGAAGGCCATCTGGGAGGACTGCAGCAGATCTGAACAGGCTGAATAATGGGCTAAGCAGAAACCCTTGGATCAGGTAGAAGTCTGGAAAGAATAGAGCCCAGAGCACTAGAAGCCAAGCTCCTGAGCTAGAGAGCTCAGTCTGGTCTTGAGTTTTGCCAAAGGAAGAGCTCCTGGGAGGTACCCTGTGAGAGAGAGGAACCCAAGCAATATAAGAAACCAGAGATGCTCCAGGCAGCCAGCAGATAGAGGGTAGGAGTTTGCCAGGACCTGGAGAAACCCAGAAGGGATTCAGGATTTTGGCTGAGTAAGTATCAGCTGGTAAAACATAAATTTTAAAAAATGGTGGCTTGGGAGTGGCTACAAGGGGTGGTTTGGAGACTCCACCATGGGATGCCTGGGGCACTCAGTATCTTGAGCCCTGCATGGGGCAGGGATACAAAGTGGGCTAAGGCTGAAAGCTACAACCAGTGACTAAGGCCAAAGGGGCTGAAGCCTGGGCAGAAGGGCCGAGGCTGAGATGGGTGACAGGTTCAGTTTGCAGAGGCTAGTAGCTCTGTAAAGCTATGGACAGTGCTGCTGAAGTGTCAGGTGTTCTAGTTAGAGGTCCTAGGGCCCAAGGCTGGATCACTGGGTAAGAGTTAGTGAGGGAGAGTTGAAAGAGGACTAAGTCAGAGGGACCCAGAGTTAAAGGAACCAATCTGGCTAGGACTGAGGGTGAGAAGAGGAGCTCCACTCAGGGCATGGAGCAGACCCCAATGATGAGCAGGGCCAGGTGAAGCACCCAGACCTCACACCAGTCTCTGAGGACAGTCTTCCCAAGTGTGTAATCATTTCACCATCAAAGGCATGGCAGGTAAGACAGCAGGGAAATACTATGGGAGGCCTCTAAGAGGTGCCATGGCCAGCCTCAAAGGTTGACAAACATCTGATCTGAACCTTTTTGCCCTCCTGCGAAACTGAGATTTTAAAAAGCAGTCATAAAACCCCCAGCATTGTTCCCCATTACTCACGCACAAGGAAAAAATGTGTATTTTTATACCCACACATTTCTAAATAAATCCTATCACCTAATCTTGTTAACTGAAACCTGCAAATCCAAGGAAGTGGAAGTCTACTGCTCCACTGAAACAGAGATTTGTGAAAAGGGTTTTGCAGAACAGTGAGAAACAAAAGTGACATTAACAGACACAGGAGTGACTAATAACATATATAATTTCTCCTCTAGCAGCATTTTGAACAGCAAGATGTCATCCATCCATGATGACATGGAGCTGCTTGGAGGGTGAAACGGGTGTTTTGTTTTCATGTTTAGACTAAGAAGCCTCTCACTGGTAAAATATGAAACTGAGATGTCTCCAGCTTCAGCATGCTCTTTGAGTTGACGTCCCCAGTTCACGTAGCCTCATGTCACAGGGAAGTTGATTCTATGGTTTTGTTCCTCTGGTTTTATGTCTTTTTCCCCAGGCTATTAGTTATCAAGTAATAGTGCTCAAAGGTTGCAATCAGGAAACAATATAATGCAAGCTGCTGCATAAACAATTATGAAAGGAGTGTTTGTACCTTGCTGCAGACTTCCTGTGTGCTGTTGGTCATGTCACTGGAGGCTGGATTTAATAAAGGGCTTATGTGCCTCAAAACTAGGTGCTATTGTATGTAATTTAGGTGCCTGATCCATGGAGTGAAATCTAGAACTCTGTATTAGGTGTTTGGGCTCCCTATGCAGTGTATGTGGAGTTGCATGCTTCAATAAGATCTAAAAAGAGCCAATGTGCAAAGCAAGGAGCTGCCTAAAGTGAGAATGCTCAGTGTGCAGCTGCCCAGAACTAGCCCATAGGGAAGCATGGAGAAGATGGGGTTGGTATTAAATCCCATTTCAAGATACCTCATACAAAGCTAGGCAGGCCCGTCCATCCATGTAAGGCTTTCTCTGGTAGTTAGACACCTAAAAACCTGTCCTCTAAAAACTGAGCAGGGCTCATCTTTCACATCTGGAAGATAAGATTCTGCTGCCCTTTTATGTGATATTGTATTAGTTAAAGCACTCATCCTGGAAATGGGAAACCCAGGTGCAAGTTCCTCCACTCCCTGAGTGAATCTAAACCCGTATCTCCCAAATCCCAGGACAATACACTACCCTTTAAGCAATAGACTAGGCTGGGCACTCTCCACTCCTCATACTAAAGCGTAACTATTCTGCAGAAAGGGATGCAATATTCACTGAACTACAGAGAAATGAACTCTGGAGCCTAGTGCATAGGGCACTCAGTGGGAAGTGGGGAAGCCTGGCTTCCAGTCCCTGCTCATAGGACTCTTTCTATATATCCTATGATGTAGCCATTGAATAAGATACAGAAGGAATCCTGAAAACAGGGATTGGACTTGCTGCATATTACATCCCCTTTACACCTAACTAGGCAGGATATAGGGAAGTAGAGAGTCACAGGCGCAATATGAGTTTTTCCAATGGCTTCACTGGAATAGGATCTAGCCACAATAGAACAGCTGAAAGGGAAGGAACACACAGCCAGTAACATAATGCTGTCATTCAAGACAAAATTGTACTGTGATGGACTGGTACTAAAGCACTGGCCTCAGGCTTCTGCTGATCTTTGTTGAAACTCCCATGCAGAGGTCAGCTGTGCATCAGAAATAAATGGAAACATAATCTATGGAAATTAATAAATAAGAAATTCTTGGGAGCAGCTGCTAGAATTAGCAGAACATGATACAGCGCAAAGAGCATTAGTCCTGCTCTTCCCACATGGAACAGAACTGTGGGACTCTGAGGTCATCTGACCCAGGTCAAACCGTGCAATGATACTATGTGGTACCTTTGTACAACAGACTCTGTCCCTTTGCCTGCCTGCCAGAGAGCCAATGAGTTACAGGTTGTGTGTGTCTGCATGTTTTGCCGCCCCCCGGTTGAGATCAGGGCCCCATTGGGCAAGCTGCTGCATATAGTAAGAGGTAATCCTTATCCCAAAGACCTTGCAGACTAAATAGACAAAACAAAGAGTGTCTAGGGAAGCAAGGCACTGAAATAAGAGGGCCCAGGTCACACAGTAGTATCATGAATAAGGATTTGGATTTGGATTTTCTGCATGTAAGACCTGTCTTTATCTCTGTCAGGTGCAATGCTGTGTTCCTCACCCCTTTCCAAATAGTCTGTCATTCAGTCCTGGAGAAGGCGGCAGAAAGACCAAATCTCTTATTACTATTCAGCTCTTTGAGCACTGCTGTAGTATCAAAAGCATAATTTTTTTTTAAAGGGGAGGATGTATTCCGCCCTTCACCTTTCTCAATGCTCTATTTTTGCTGAAACTTTTAAACAAGACAGTTCTCCCTTGTGAGGAGATACAGCCTGGAAAATATCCACAGGATCACTCTAAATTGGTTCTGCTCTTTCCTAGCAGGGAGGCCCCAGAGGGTGGTGATAAGCCATGTGCTCATTGTCTTCTTGGGACATTTCCTATGGGGTCCCCCAGGGCTCCATCTTGTCTCTCCTCCTGTTCGGTGTGTGTATAAGGCTGCTGGATGAGCTTGTGCAGAGATTTGGAGTGGGATGCTATAGTATGCTGATGACATGCACCTCTACCTCTCTTTTTCAACTGACTCTGCTCCCACCCACAGTCTCAGTCGGTTCCCAGTACCTGGCTGCCAGTGGGGATTGGATGCAGGTGAACTAATTCATATGGAATCCACTTTTTCACCAACTCCATCTGGTGAGAAGGTTGCAACAATGCAGCCCTTTCTTTCAGATACAGATCTCACTACCATTATGCATGCTTACATAATCTCAAGGTCAGACTACTGCAATGTGCATAGGGCTACTCTTGAAGACCACCTGGAAGTTGCAGTTGGTGGCAGCCGACCTTCTGACAGGGGTGGGTCACCAGGAGCATGTAACTCCACTGCTTCAGAGTCTACAATGGCTTCCAGGAGCTTTCCAGGTACAATCTGAGGTGCTGGTTGTGACCTGTGAGGCTCTGAATGGTTTGGGTCCTACATACCTAAAGGACGACCTTCTCCCTTATGCCACATCACAATGCCTAAGGTCAGCCAAGAGCAACCTCCCACAGGTACCATGAGTGTGCCAAGTCCAGTTGGCAAAAACACTTGGGAGGTAATTCTCATCTCTTGCTGCTCAGCTCTGGAGCTTCCTCTCTCTTGAGGCCTGCCAAAGCACGAGCCTGGACATCTTTTGAAAGAGGCTCCTATTTGGGCAGGCATTTAGAGAACAAAGCTAGGTTGCGGTATTGTTTAGGGGTGGTCTCTGTTTTATGTTGATATTCTAGTTCCCTCGTTAGTGATTTTGTTCTTTTGTGATTCTCCTGTTTTATAAGCTATCTTTTATCTTATTGTAAGCCTTTGTAAGGAAGGGTGGCATATAAAGGGAATGAATAAGTAAATAAAATGTCAGCCTAGCAGATGAAAAGAGAATGGCTGGAAAAAGAGGTGTAGAATTTAAATGCTTAAGTTCCTTCAGGGCTGTTCAAATTTAGTATACACATATACATGCACATAAAACACGGGAACAGGTTCCCTGGAGACATTGTGGAATCTCTGTCCCTGGAGGTTTTTGAGACCTGGCTAGACAAAACCCTTGGCTGGGATGATCTGGTTGGGGATGATCATACTTTGAGCAGAGGGTTGGACTTGATGTGACCTCCTGAGGTCCTTTCCAACCCTCATTTTCTATGATTCTATGCTCAGAGATGCCCTCCTTGCTCTTCCATTTCCTCCTGTTGTCCCCCATCCTTCAGTGTCCCCTAGTTATTTCTTTCTCTTTAGCTCTTCCCATGCCAATGAAACACCACCTAAAATGTAACAAAGAGCAGTCAACCATGCTTTGCTTATTTATTTACTTATATATTTGCTTATAACCAACCACTCTATTTGGTCTGTCCCAGGAGTGTCAAACATACAGCCCAGGGGTCCAGCCCATGGAGCCATATGATCTGTCCTGTGGGTCACAGGACTGACCCCAGGCACCAGTCCTGGCCTTGTGTGCTGTATTCAGTGTGTGGGCTGGACCTGATGCTGTGCACCCTGAACACAGCACAGGGTGCTAGTACAGGGCTTGTGCTGCATATAGTGCCCTGCTAGACTGGACCCCAAGCCAGTGCCGGGTCAACCTGTATGCTATGCGCAGCATGTACCCTGTGCTGGTTCCAAATGCCATGAGCACAGCAGCTCTAGGGCTAGCACATGCTGTGAACATGCTGGACCCAGCACCTGCAGGCACTGCCCAGGAGGTTAGTCCTGGTCTGGCACACAGAAGTAGCCCAGCAACCCTCATTCAAC